CGGCTTGCTGCAGTTCGCGGTGACGACGACGAGGCCGGGCATCGCCTTCGCGTGCAGCAAGCTGGGGAGCGGCCTCATGGTGAGGAGCGACCAGCACTGGCGCGAGGTCGACCGCTGCCTCGCCTACCTCGCCAACACGCGTGACACCGCCTTGGAGTTCGGCGGTGGAACAGAGTTGCTGGAGCTGGTCGGCTACGTTGACGCCGACGACGCCGGCGACAAGCAGAACCGGACGAGCACGGGTGGCTACGTGTTCGTCTACGGAGGGGCCGCGGTCTCCTGGTCGAGCCAGCGCATCAAGTGCGCGGCACTGTCGTCGACCGAGTCGGAGTACGTGGCAGCCGTCGAAGCCGGCAAGGAGGGACGCCGACTTCGCTTCCTCCTGGCAGGGTTCCGGCAGCTGGACGCCGGAAAGCCGACTGTCCTGAGGGTGGACAACAAGTCGGCCATCACGGTCGCCGAGGGCATGGGGTTGACAGGCAACCTCAAGCACATGGGGCGGCGACAGGCCTGGCTGCAGCACATGGTGAAGCGGGGGAAGTTTTCGCTGCAGTACATTCCGACCGCTGAGCAGCCGGCCGACTTCCTGACGAAGGCGCTGCACTATCCGGCCTTCAACCGGTGCTCCGTCGCAATCGGCAAGGTGTGCTTGGCCGACGTGGGCGACGGCGATAGCGACGTGCAGCAGTAGGTACCATGCCCTCTTGCATGGCTGGTGCGGTGACCGGCGTGCTGTGTGTGGGGTGCACGCCGGCGAGCGATTCTCCGAGCTGTGCTGCCGTGTGGGCTGGGGGCCCAAGCGTGAACGCGGCAGGGGAGTGTCAACGAAAGTTGTGGTTGTCAGAATCCCAACCACTAGACCATTGGGATAAAAGGGCTTGTTAAGTAGCGGGTGAGTGCGCCCATAACCCCCCAGGACAACGAGCCTGTAACCCTTCCCTAGGATCAATCGGGGATCACCAGTGGACCTCTGACAACCCCCCGCACTGGGATGCCCGAAGTGCACACACTGGGACTCGAACCCGAGACCTTCGCTCTGATACCATGTCAGAATCCCAGCCACTAGACCACTGGGATAAAAGGGCTTGTTAAGTAGCGGGTCAGTGCGCCCATAACCCCCCAAGACAACGAGCCTGTAACTCTTCCCTAGGATCAATCGGGGATCACCAGTGGACCTCTGACAGTGGTTGGCCCCGTCCTCGCTTGGGCGGAACCGACTTCGTGGTCGGGTGCGGGGGTTGCAGCCGACCTGCAGCAGTGGGCGAGTTGGTCGACGGGGCTGGTCGACCTGCACGGGAACCACTGTAATGGGCGCTGACTTCAGGAGGGCGCCACCTTCGGGTGGTCGACTTGGGAGGTCGACCTGTGGAGGCGTCGCCTTGGTGACGCCGACCTGGGAAAGCCGGCTGGGTGATGTCGGCTGACACACGTGCGGGTCGACGTGGAGCTGGTCGACCAGGTGTGTGGTCGACGTGGGGAGGTCGACTGGGAGTGGTCGTCGACCTGGTTGGTCGACGTGCACGCACAAGAGCAGCTGGTCGACGTGGTTGCCCGGTCGACTAGGTTACATGGGTGACGAGGTTCTATGGAGGCACGCGATGGTCGCCCAGGTGGTTTTGGCGAGGACGACCTCGGTGGTGGTATCCCGAGATTGACGTGGCTGATCAGAAGCAGTCGTCAGCACAAGGATGATCTAGTGTGTGTGCGCTGTGCAGGTGACGAGGCATGGCGCGCCAATCATCTGCAAGCACCTGCGAAGCGGGTGCGATGCTGTTCTGTGGGAGCAACGCTTGTACGCCGTCGACTTGCGCTGTTGTCACACTGTCGACCTGCAGCGTTGGCGAGCCGTGACTCTGCACTTCTGGAGCGCGGGCGACCAAGCCGTGCTGGCACGCGGTCGACCATGCTGCGCTGGCAGGCGCCTTGCTTGCATCCTAGCTCTGATGTAGTCTTGCCTTGCCAACTTCATTGTACTATTGTTGTGAACTTTTCCTAGTGGAACTCTTGCAATTCTTCCCCGTGAACTAGCAAGTAGTGAGAGCACTTGGAAACAACAAAGGAGCGAACGAACGCTACGATCACTCCCACCACGTGCCTGGCCCATAGACCAACTCCCGTTGTTAGAGTTATCTCCGCAGTGAAGTCGGAGCTGCAGAAGAGACACACGTGCACAGGCCTGGGTGAGCTGCACAGCTATCTTGGCTTGCAGATCACCCAGGACAGAGCACGGCGCACCATCACCCTCACTCTGTCACACATGGTGAAGCAGGTCCTTCATAGCTTCGGCTTCACTTGGTCCTCGCCACAGTCCATTCCTCTGGCTACTGGTCACTCGCTCTCAGCTCCACCTTCGGACGAGTCCGTAGAGCCGAGTGGCCCGTATGCAGAGCTTGTGGGCTGCCTCATGTACCTGATGACCTGCACTCGACCTGTCCTTGCGTACCCTCTTAGCATCCTGGCACGCTACGTGGCTCCCGGTAGACACCAAAAGGTGCACTGGGATGTTGCGAAGAGGGTACTGCATTACTTGTGCGGTACATCGGGCATGGGGCTCGTGCTTGGAGGACAGAGTCGAGTTGTTCTCACTGGACACTCAGACGCACCTTGGGTTGACGACCTGGCTACGCAGCGGTCGTCACAGGGTTACACGTTCAGCCTTGGCTCCGGCTCTGTTTCTTGGCGGTCTACCCGCTCGTCTTCTGTTCTCAGCTCCAGTTGTGAGGCTGAGATCTACGCAGGAGCCATTGGCTGCACAGGCGTTACGCTGGCTCACCTACCTGCTGGCCGACTTGGGAGAGCGGCCTCGTTCTCCTCCAGTTCTGTACATAGACAACAAGGCCGCCATTGCCTTGTGTCAGAAGCACAGACTGGAGCACAGAACGAAGCACATTGCTCTGCGTTACTTCCTTGCTCGAGAGTTGCAACAGCGTGGTCAGCTTCGTCTTGCTTACGTGGCCACTCGGACCAACACTGCTGATATATTCACCAAGGCACTTCCGCCTGGTGATCATTAGCGTTTCTGTACTACTCTAGGCCTTGTGCCTGCTTCGTCTCACTTGCTCACTGCATGACTAAACTTGTACTGTGATATATATATATATATATATATATATATATATAAATACTTGCATGTTTACTCTTGCTAGGTAGTGATCACTGTATTGTTTGCTCTTTTTTTTTATAATTCTGCATGTGAACTGGCATTGTGGCCATTTGCTTGTGCTCAGAACGTGTGGTGGCGTTGTGATCCACCCTGAGCTTACTTTGCTTTTCTTGACTGGTCTTGTGACCACTAGTTCTCCCCCACTTTGTCTATGGGGGTGTGTCAAACTGTATTGATGTTTGTGTTGTGTAGGCTACAGTGGGGTAGCCTATAAGGGGTACAACCCACATTAGGGTTAGCATGTGTACCCACATCTCTGCTCAATGCATCCATTCACGCGTGCTATTCTGACAGCCTTGGCCAAGGAGAGTCGAGTGTGTTTGTGCCAAGGGAAGGGTGGAATGGAATGATTCAATAATGACAGGATACAGTCGAGAAGAGGCACAAGAGGTGGTTCACCACCAACAAGGGGCACAAACACTACAGTAACTAGAGCAAGCATGATATATATCAAATATAACTTTAGCGCCGCCCACTTAAACGCCGTGCCGCCCGCTCGAACGCTGCGCCGCCCGCTCAAACGCCGCGCCGCCCGCTCAAACGCCGCGCCATTCGCTCAAATGCCGCGCCGCCTGCTAAACCGCCGCGCGGCCCGCTCAAACGCCACGCCGCTTGCTCAAACGCAGCGTCGCCCGCTCAAACGCAGCGCCGCTCGCTCAAACACCACGCCGCCCGCTCAAACGCCGCGTTGCCCGCTCAAACGCCGTGCCGTCCACTCGTCAAACATATATGTTGTGGGTTATAGGTGTAGTGGGTGAGGTTCCATACGGTACAACCTAGTTACGGTTGGCATTTGTTCTCCCTATCCCGAATCCAACTCATTCCTGCTAGTTAGTTTCTCACATGTAAACCCTAGACCGTGTTAGGACCGTTTTTCCGGGCTCACCGTTAGATGTTGCCCTGCCCCGCACGATCGCGCTTCCCCGCACATGCCCTGCTGCCCCGCGCTTCCGTTACCCCGCGCGCTGCCTTACGCGCTGCCCTACGCGCTGCCTTACGCGCTGCCCCGAGCGCCGCTGCTACCCCGCTCGTCGCGCGCGCCTCTGCCCCGCGCGCCGCGCGACCCCGCTGCCCAGTCCGACGCGCGCTGCGTCGCTCGTCGCTCGCCGCGTAGTGCCTGCGCGCTGCCCCTCCGCGCTGCCCGCGAACTGCCCTGCCGCGCTGCCCGCGCGCTGCCCGCGCGCTGTCCTGCCGCGCTGCCCGCGAACTGCCCTGTCGCGCTGCCCGCGTGCTGCCCTGTCGCGTGCCTTGTCTGCTGCGCGACGCGCCTGTGCGCCGCCCTGCCGTGCGCCCGAGCTGGCCGCCCGCAGCTGCCCTTATTGCCGCCCGCTGCTGCCCTTATTGCCGCCCGCTGCTGCCCTTATTGCCGCCCTCGCTGCTGCCTGCATTGCCTCGTACTGCAGCCCGCACTGTCTCGCACTTGCCTGGAGGCGAAAACCACTCGCCAGCAATTGGTTTCCTACAAAATTGTGGGAACCCCAATTTCCCGATGATGGCGCCATCGCCATCGCTGGACGTGAAGGTGCCCGGCGATCGCCTGGGCCTCGCGACGGAGCTCGCGGCGGGGCCGGGCACGTACGTGCGCGAGCCGTTCGTGTACGCCAGCACCAGGGGCACCATGACCGCCGCCCTTGGCGACCCCGTGAGTCTAAACGACTCGTCGCCTTGTCTGCCCTGCCTTCTTCCCCCACGCCCGCTTTCCTCCTCCGTTTGCCCGCATCCCCATCCGGGCTCCCCTTCCCTCGTTACATTCTGTTCACCGCCCACCCTCCCCCATCCCGCAATCCCCTCCACACCCCCGCCACCCGTCCCTCCCCCTTCCTCCCCCTTCCCCCAGCTGCCGACAGTGTCAGTGCGGCGCGCGGGGGCGCAAACCGCCATTCCTAGCGTTGGCGCCACAGTCATTGCGAAGGTGGGCGGGGAAGGGGGGAGAGCCATTGGGGAACGGGGAGCTGGGATGGCGTTGTTGGTGGCGCATGAGTCGCCGAGGAGGAAGAGAGGGGAGGCGGGTACAGGAGCGAGCACGTGGGTCCTTTTCGTTCTTGTACGTCTTACTTCCCCCCTCTCTCCCCCCTGTTGCCCACCCCTCGCTTACTTCCCCCCTCTTTCCTCCTCCCCTTCATCCCTCTCCTCCCCTCCCTCCCTGCATTGCTTGTGGCGTCTCTGCCGGATCCTGTTCCCATCGACCCCCCTGCCCCGCCATTCCCCCCACTCACTGCAGGTGGCGAGGGTGACGCCACGAGCAGCCATGGCGGACATAGTGTGTGTGGGCGCACACGCCGTCACGGACAAGTTCTCAGGCATCATCAGGTGGGCGCCCTCTTGCCCAGGTGGCGGTTCTGTCATTATTCAGCCGGTTACATTCTCTCAAGCCTGATTCTTGACACGATAAGTGTGCGGGTGGTTTGGGTGGTGTGGGTGGTGTGTGTGGTGTGGGTGGTTTGGGTGGTTTGGGTGGTGTGGGTGGTGTGTGTGGTGTGGGTGGTGTGTGTGGTGTGGGTGGTTTGGGTGGTGTGTGTGGTGTGGGTGGTGTGGGTGGTGTGGGTGGTGTGTGTGGTGTGGGTGGTGTGTGTGGTGTGGGTGGTGTGGGTGGTGTGGGTGGTGTGGGTGGTGTGGGTGGTGTGGGTGGTGTGGGTGGTGTGGGTGGTGTGGGTGGTGTGGGTGGTGTGGGTGGTGTGGGTGGTGTGGGTGGTGTGGGTGGTGTGGGTGGTGTGGGTGGTGTGGGTGGTGTGGGTGGTGTGGGTGGTGTGGGTGGTGTGGGTGGTGTGGGTGGTGTGGGTGGTGTGGGTGGTGTGGGTGGTGTGGGTGGTGTGGGTGGTGTGGGTGGTGTGGGTGGTGTGGGTGGTGTGGGTGGTGTGGGTGGTGTGGGTGGTGTGGGTGGTGTGGGTGGTTTGGGTGGTGTGGGTGGTGTGGGTGGTGAGGGTGGTGTGGGTGGTTTGGGTGGTGTGTGTGGTGTGGGTGGTGTGGGTGGTGTGGGTGGTGTGGGTGGTGTGGGTGGTGTGTGTGGTGTGGGTGGTGTGTGTGGTGTGGGTGGTTTGGGTGGTTTGGGTGGTGTGGGTGGTGTGTGTGGTGTGGGTGGTGTGTGTGGTGTGGGTGGTTTGGGTGGTGTGTGTGGTGTGGGTGGTGTGGGTGGTGTGGGTGGTGTGTGTGGTGTGGGTGGTGTGTGTGGTGTGGGTGGTGTGGGTGGTGTGGGTGGTGTGTGTGGTGTGTGTGGTGTGGGTGGTGTGGGTGGTGTGGGTGGTGTGGGTGGTGTGGGTGGTTTGGGTGGTGTGGGTGGTGTGGGTGGTGTGGGTGGTGTGGGTGGTGTGGGTGGTGTGGGTGGTGTGGGTGGTGTGGGTGGTTTGGGTGGTGTGGGTGGTGTGGGTGGTGTGGGTGGTGTGGGTGGTGTGGGTGGTGTGTGTGGTGTGGGTGGTGTGGGTGGTGTGGGTGGTTTGGGTGGTGTGGGTGGTGTGGGTGGTGTGGGTGGTGTGGGTGGTGTGGGTGGTGTGGGTGGTGTGGGTGGTGTGTGTGGTGTGGGTGGTGTGTGTGGTGTGGGTGGTGTGGGTGGTGTGTGTGGTGTGGGTGGTGTGGGTGGTGTGGGTGGTGTGGGTGGTGTGGGTGGTGTGTGTGGTGTGGGTGGTGTGGGTGGTGTGGGTGGTGTGTGTGGTGTGGGTGGTGTGGGTGGTGTGTGTGGTGTGGGTGGTGTGGGTGGTGTGGGTGGTGTGGGTGGTGTGTTTGGTGTGGGTGGTGTGGGTGGTGTGGGTGGTTTGGGTGGTGTGGGTGGTGTGGGTGGTGTGGGTGGTGTGGGTGGTGTGGGTGGTGTGGGTGGTGTGGGTGGTGTGGGTGGTGTGGGTGGTGTGGGTGGTGTGTGTGGTGTGGGTGGTGTGGGTGGTGTGGGTGGTTTGGGTGGTGTGGGTGGTGTGGGTGGTGTGTGTGGTGTGGGTGGTTTGGGTGGTGTGTGTGGTGTGGGTGGTGTGGGTGGTGTGTGTGGTGTGGGTGGTGTGTGTGGTGTGGGTGGTTTGGGTGGTGTGTGTGGTGTGGGTGGTGTGGGTGGTGTGGGTGGTGTGTGTGGTGTGGGTGGTGTGTGTGGTGTGGGTGGTGTGTGTGGTGTGGGTGGTTTGGGTGGTGTGTGTGGTGTGGGTGGTGTGTGTGGTGTGGGTGGTGTGTGTGGTGTGGGTGGTTTGGGTGGTGTGTGTGGTGTGGGTGGTGTGGGTGGTGTGGGTGGTGTGGGTGGTGTGGGTGGTGTGGGTGGTGTGTGTGGTGTGGGTGGTTTGGGTGGTGTGGGTGGTGTGTGTGGTGTGGGTGGTGTGGGTGGTGTGGGTGGTGTGGGTGGTGTGGGTGGTGTGGGTGGTGTGGGTGGTGTGGGTGGTGTGGGTGGTGTGGGTGGTGTGGGTGGTGTGGGTGGTGTGGGTGGTGTGGGTGGTGTGGGTGGTGTGGGTGGTTTGGGTGGTGTGGGTGGTGTGGGTGGTGTGGGTGGTGTGGGTGGTGTGGGTGGTGTGGGTGGTGTGGGTGGTGTGGGTGGTGTGGGTGGTGTGGGTGGTGTGGGTGGTGTGGGTGGTGTGGGTGGTGTGGGTGGTGTGGGTGGTGTGGGTGGTGTGGGTGGTGTGGGTGGTGTGGGTGGTGTGGGTGGTGTGGGTGGTTTGGGTGGTTTGGGTGGTGTGTGTGGTGTGGGTGGTGTGGGTGGTGTGGGTGGTGTGGGTGGTGTGGGTGGTGTGGGTGGTGTGTGTGGTGTGTGTGGTGTGGGTGGTTTGGGTGGTGTGGGTGGTGTGGGTGGTGTGGGTGGTGTGTGTGGTGTGTGTGGTGTGGGTGGTTTGGGTGGTGTGTGTGGTGTGGGTGGTGTGGGTGGTGTGGGTGGTGTGTGTGGTGTGGGTGGTGTGTGTGGTGTGGGTGGTGTGTGTGGTGTGGGTGGTTTGGGTGGTGTGGGTGGTGTGGGTGGTGTGTGTGGTGTGGGTGGTTTGGGTGGTGTGGGTGGTGTGGGTGGTGTGTGTGGTGTGGGTGGTGTGTGTGGTGTGGGTGGTTTGGGTGGTGTGTGTGGTGTGGGTGGTGTGGGTGGTGTGGGTGGTGTGGGTGGTGTGTGTGGTGTGGGTGGTGTGGGTGGTTTGGGTGGTGTGGGTGGTGTGGGTGGTGTGGGTGGTGTGGGTGGTGTGGGTGGTGTGGGTGGTGTGGGTGGTGTGGGTGGTGTGGGTGGTGTGGGTGGTGTGGGTGGTGTGGGTGGTGTGGGTGGTGTGGGTGGTGTGGGTGGTGTGGGTGGTGTGGGTGGTGTGTGTGGTGTGGGTGGTGTGGGTGGTGTGGGTGGTGTGGGTGGTGTGGGTGGTTTGGGTGGTGTGGGTGGTGTGGGTGGTGTGGGTGGTGTGGGTGGTGTGGGTGGTGTGGGTGGTGTGGGTGGTGTGGGTGGTGTGGGTGGTGTGGGTGGTTTGGGTGGTGTGGGTGGTGTGGGTGGTGTGGGTGGTGTGGGTGGTGTGGGTGGTGTGGGTGGTGTGGGTGGTGTGGGTGGTGTGGGTGGTGTGGGTGGTGTGGGTGGTGTGGGTGGTGTGTGTGGTGTGGGTGGTGTGTGTGGTGTGGGTGGTTTGGGTGGTTTGGGTGGTGTGGGTGGTGTGTGTGGTGTGGGTGGTGTGTGTGGTGTGGGTGGTTTGGGTGGTGTGTGTGGTGTGGGTGGTGTGGGTGGTGTGGGTGGTGTGTGTGGTGTGGGTGGTGTGTGTGGTGTGGGTGGTGTGGGTGGTTTGGGTGGTGTGGGTGGTGTGGGTGGTGTGGGTGGTGTGGGTGGTGTGGGTGGTGTGGGTGGTGTGGGTGGTGTGGGTGGTGTGGGTGGTGTGGGTGGTGTGGGTGGTGTGGGTGGTGTGGGTGGTGTGGGTGGTTTGGGTGGTTTGGGTGGTGTGTGTGGTGTGGGTGGTGTGGGTGGTGTGGGTGGTGTGGGTGGTGTGGGTGGTGTGGGTGGTGTGTGTGGTGTGTGTGGTGTGGGTGGTTTGGGTGGTGTGGGTGGTGTGGGTGGTGTGGGTGGTGTGTGTGGTGTGTGTGGTGTGGGTGGTTTGGGTGGTGTGTGTGGTGTGGGTGGTGTGGGTGGTGTGGGTGGTGTGTGTGGTGTGGGTGGTGTGTGTGGTGTGGGTGGTGTGGGTGGTGTGGGTGGTGTGTGTGGTGTGGGTGGTTTGGGTGGTGTGGGTGGTGTGGGTGGTGTGTGTGGTGTGGGTGGTTTGGGTGGTGTGGGTGGTGTGGGTGGTGTGTGTGGTGTGGGTGGTGTGTGTGGTGTGGGTGGTGTGTGTGGTGTGGGTGGTGTGGGTGGTGTGGGTGGTGTGGGTGGTGTGGGTGGTGTGTGTGGTGTGGGTGGTGTGGGTGGTTTGGGTGGTGTGGGTGGTGTGGGTGGTGTGGGTGGTGTGGGTGGTGTGGGTGGTGTGGGTGGTGTGGGTGGTGTGGGTGGTGTGGGTGGTGTGGGTGGTGTGGGTGGTGTGGGTGGTGTGGGTGGTGTGGGTGGTGTGGGTGGTGTGGGTGGTGTGGGTGGTGTGTGTGGTGTGGGTGGTGTGGGTGGTGTGGGTGGTGTGGGTGGTTTGGGTGGTGTGGGTGGTGTGGGTGGTGTGGGTGGTGTGGGTGGTGTGGGTGGTGTGGGTGGTGTGGGTGGTGTGGGTGGTGTGGGTGGTGTGGGTGGTTTGGGTGGTGTGGGTGGTGTGGGTGGTGTGGGTGGTGTGGGTGGTGTGGGTGGTGTGGGTGGTGTGGGTGGTGTGGGTGGTGTGGGTGGTGTGGGTGGTGTGGGTGGTGTGGGTGGTGTGTGTGGTGTGTGTGGTGTGTGTGGTGTGGGTGGTTTGGGTGGTTTGGGTGGTGTGGGTGGTGTGTGTGGTGTGGGTGGTGTGTGTGGTGTGGGTGGTTTGGGTGGTGTGTGTGGTGTGGGTGGTGTGGGTGGTGTGGGTGGTGTGTGTGGTGTGGGTGGTGTGTGTGGTGTGGGTGGTGTGGGTGGTTTGGGTGGTGTGGGTGGTGTGGGTGGTGTGGGTGGTGTGGGTGGTGTGGGTGGTGTGGGTGGTGTGGGTGGTGTGGGTGGTGTGGGTGGTGTGTGTGGTGTGGGTGGTGTGGGTGGTGTGGGTGGTTTGGGTGGTGTGGGTGGTGTGGGTGGTGTGTGTGGTGTGGGTGGTTTGGGTGGTGTGTGTGGTGTGGGTGGTGTGGGTGGTGTGTGTGGTGTGGGTGGTGTGTGTGGTGTGGGTGGTTTGGGTGGTGTGTGTGGTGTGGGTGGTGTGGGTGGTGTGGGTGGTGTGTGTGGTGTGGGTGGTGTGTGTGGTGGGGGGGGGGTGGGTGGTGTGTGTGGTGTGGGTGGTTTGGGTGGTGTGTGTGGTGTGGGTGGTGTGTGTGGTGTGGGTGGTGTGTGTGGTGTGGGTGGTTTGGGTGGTGTGTGTGGTGTGGGTGGTGTGGGTGGTGTGGGTGGTGTGTGTGGTGTGGGTGGTGTGTGTGGTGTGGGTGGTGTGGGTGGTGTGGGTGGTTTGGGTGGTGTGGGTGGTGTGGGTGGTGTGGGTGGTTTGGGTGGTGTGGGTGGTGTGGGTGGTGTGGGTGGTGTGGGTGGTGTGGGTGGTGTGTGTGGTGTGGGTGGTGTGGGTGGTGTGGGTGGTTTGGGTGGTGTGGGTGGTGTGGGTGGTGTGGGTGGTGTGGGTGGTGTGGGTGGTGTGTGTGGTGTGGGTGGTGTGTGTGGTGTGGGTGGTTTGGGTGGTGTGGGTGGTGTGGGTGGTGTGTGTGGTGTGGGTGGTGTGTGTGGTGTGGGTGGTTTGGGTGGTGTGTGTGGTGTGGGTGGTGTGGGTGGTGTGGGTGGTGTGTGTGGTGTGGGTGGTGTGTGTGGTGTGGGTGGTGTGGGTGGTGTGGGTGGTTTGGGTGGTGTGGGTGGTGTGGGTGGTGTGGGTGGTTTGGGTGGTGTGGGTGGTGTGGGTGGTGTGGGTGGTGTGGGTGGTGTGGGTGGTGTGTGTGGTGTGGGTGGTGTGGGTGGTGTGGGTGGTTTGGGTGGTGTGGGTGGTGTGGGTGGTGTGTGTGGTGTGGGTGGTTTGGGTGGTGTGTGTGGTGTGGGTGGTGTGGGTGGTGTGGGTGGTGTGGGTGGTGTGTGTGGTGTGGGTGGTTTGGGTGGTGTGGGTGGTGTGGGTGGTGTGGGTGGTGTGGGTGGTGTGGGTGGTGTGGGTGGTGTGTGTGGTGTGGGTGGTGTGTGTGGTGTGGGTGGTGTGGGTGGTGTGGGTGGTGTGGGTGGTGTGGGTGGTGTGGGTGGTTTGGGTGGTGTGGGTGGTGTGGGTGGTGTGGGTGGTGTGGGTGGTGTGGGTGGTGTGTGTGGTGTGTGTGGTGTGGGTGGTGTGGGTGGTGTGTGTGGTGTGGGTGGTGTGTGTGGTGTGGGTGGTGTGGGTGGTGTGTGTGGTGTGGGTGGTGTGGGTGGTGTGGGTGGTGTGGGTGGTGTGGGTGGTGTGGGTGGTGTGGGTGGTGTGGGTGGTGTGTGTGGTGTGGGTGGTGTGTGTGGTGTGGGTGGTTTGGGTGGTGTGGGTGGTGTGTGTGGTGTGGGTGGTGTGTGTGGTGTGTGTGGTGTGGGTGGTGTGGGTGGTGTGGGTGGTGTGGGTGGTGTGGGTGGTGTGTGTGGTGTGGGTGGTGTGTGTGGTGTGGGTGGTTGGGTGGTGTGGGTGGTGTGTGTGGTGTGGGTGGTGTGTGTGGTGTGGGTGGTGTGGGTGGTGTGGGTGGTGTGGGTGGTGTGGGTGGTGTGGGTGGTGTGTGTGGTGTGGGTGGTGTGGGTGGTGTGGGTGGTGTGTGTGGTGTGGGTGGTGTGTGTGGTGTGGGTGGTTTGGGTGGTGTGGGTGGTTTGGGTGGTGTGGGTGGTTTGGGTGGTGTGTGTGGTGTGGGTGGTGTGGGTGGTGTGGGTGGTGTGTGTGGTGTGGGTGGTGTGGGTGGTGTGGGTGGTGTGTGTGGTGTGGGTGGTGTGTGTGGTGTGGGTGGTGTGGGTGGTGTGGGTGGTGTGGGTGGTGTGGGTGGTGTGTGTGGTGTGGGTGGTGTGGGTGGTGTGGGTGGTGTGTGTGGTGTGGGTGGTGTGTGTGGTGTGGGTGGTGTGGGTGGTGTGGGTGGTGTGGGTGGTGTGTGTGGTGTGGGTGGTGTGTGTGGTGTGGGTGGTGTGGGTGGTGGTGTGGGTGGTGTGGGTGGTGTGGGTGGTGTGGGTGGTGTGGGTGGTGTGGGTGGTGTGGGTGGTGTGGGTGGTGTGTGTGGTGTGGGTGGTTTGGGTGGTGTGGGTGGTGTGTGTGGTGTGGGTGGTGTGTGTGGTGTGGGTGGTGTGGGTGGTGTGGGTGGTGTGGGTGGTGTGGGTGGTGTGTGTGGTGTGGGTGGTGTGGGTGGTGTGGGTGGTGTGTGTGGTGTGGGTGGTGTGTGTGGTGTGGGTGGTTTGGGTGGTGTGGGTGGTTTGGGTGGTGTGGGTGGTTTGGGTGGTGTGGGTGGTGTGGGTGGTGTGGGTGGTGTGGGTGGTGTGGGTGGTGTGGGTGGTGTGGGTGGTGTGGGTGGTGTGGGTGGTGTGGGTGGTGTGTGTGGTGTGGGTGGTGTGTGTGGTGTGGGTGGTGTGGGTGGTGTGGGTGGTTGGGTGGTGTGGGTGGTGTGGGTGGTGTGGGTGGTTTGGGTGGTGTGGGTGGTGTGGGTGGTGTGGGTGGTGTGGGTGGTGTGGGTGGTGTGTGTGGTGTGGGTGGTGTGGGTGGTGTGGGTGGTGTGTGTGGTGTGGGTGGTGTGTGTGGTGTGGGTGGTGTGGGTGGTGTGTGTGGTGTGGGTGGTGTGTGTGGTGTGGGTGGTGTGTGTGGTGTGGGTGGTGTGTGTGGTGTGGGTGGTGTGTGTGGTGTGGGTGGTGCGTGCGGCAGGCAGCAGGACGTGAGAGCCACGGAGATAGACAAGGTGGATCTGCTGGCGTCGTATCGCCCTGGTGACCTTATTCGAGCTCAAGTGGTGCGCCTCCCCTCTCACCCACATGCGCAACCTTGGCAGCCCTCGTCCTAGCCCTCGTCCTAGCCCTCGTCCTAGCCCTCGTCCTAGCCCTCGTCCTAGCCCTTGTCCTAGCCCTCACCGTCTCTTCTTGCTCCCTAACCCTCCTTCATCTCTCGTCCTCTCATGTCCCGTGCGTGCCATGCCATGGCAGCTCTCGCTGGGAGACTCACGCGCCTATTTCCTCTCCACAGCCAAGAACGACTTGGGGGTTATACTGGCCAAAGGGGTCGCAGGTTAGTGCTCCGCTCCTCATCTCTCGCATGGGATTCTTCTGTCTCCATTATCAGCGTCTCCCTTGCGCATGCACCCTCCTTTCTATTCCAGTCTTTGCATATTGTGCTGGTTCCCTTCTCTGACGGGAAGCATTGCTCTTTCCAAACCATGTTGGACTGTGTGAGACACAGGTGTACCCATGGTGCCCATAAGTTGGCAAGAGATGCGATGCCCCATCACAGATCAAGTGGAAAATAGGAAAGTGGCTAAGGTTATATAAACAAACCTGTATTTAATTACCGTAATCCCCCATATATGCTACCCCGGGTGCTGTGTTAAATCTCTCGAAAAAATGGCAATGGGTGCACTATTTGAGGATAAGTCGTATAGCACCCATGTGTTATATTGCGAGATACATTATATGACCAAAACTAGAATGACTGTTTTGCATGCAGTAGCAAACGAGTTCATGTTAACGAGTTTGGGAGACCGATGCACGTGCGATATTTTGCTTGATTCGATCGAGATGTCGCTACGCTATTGTGAGTCACGATTGTGTCAGACACACGTGTGTCACAATCTGTGAGAGGTCAATGTTTGTCGCCACATTGAAATTTCGCCCTTGAAAACTTTCGATAGTAAGAAATTGTCATCTCTCACGTGAGATTTGGAAATTTCGCCCTTGAAAACCTGCGAAAGTCTGAACTTGTCATCTCTCGCATAGGCTTTTCCTAATGTTCTCGAATGAAAGGGCAGAAACATTGAGGGAGGGGGGGTGCTCTCCTGGAACTCCTTAAAAGGGGGTATAGTATTTCGCGTTCCCCCAATAAACCCCTCGACCCGCATAAGCCCCCTATGGGGGCTTTAATTCGGCAGGCTTTGTATACGGGGTATTACGGTATATGTTCCTGGTTAGCCTCTTGAAATCGATGGAAGTGTATTATAGTTGACATCTACGTTTTGATAAACATTTTAGTCCTTTACTTTGACATCGAGAAACGCATAAACTTGAACCAAGTCAAAGCGCATACTGTAGCCAACCCCTAAGCCCTCCGTAGGCAGGCCATTGCAGAGCGTTGTTCCATTACTCAAATCGGATTTCAACTGCCTCTCCTCCTCGGCACAGAAGAGCAGCAGCTTATTTCGCCTCGATGGCAGATCTAATTCTTCTGGAAAAGTGCCTTGTTGATCACGCCTCGTTGTAGTCACACCATGACTGAGGCACAGGGTTCGCTCGTGCCGCGTCAGATTGTCTCTATAAGCATCTGCGCCGCGGCGGCTGAGTTGCTCGAGGCTGCCGCTCTTGCCTACTAGGCTACTACTACCGCCAGCGGCGGCAGCGCCCTGCTCGCGCCGCATGCACGCACGCACATGCCCCGCCCGAGCCGCCCGCACGCGCGCTGCCCGAGCCATGCGCACGCTCGATCCGCACGCTTCCTGCTCTGCCCGCGCATTACCTGCACGGCCCGCGCTCTGCCCTGCGCGCGCTGCCCGCACACCTGCTGCCTAGCGAGCTGCTCGCGCTGCCCGCCAGCAACCTACGCCCGGCCTGCGCCCTGCCTGACTGCTGATGCTAAGCGCGCTGCTACTGCTACGCGCTGCTCTTAAGCGCACTGCAGCTGCTACGCGCTGCTGCTAAGCGCACTGCTGCTGCTGCTGCTGCTAGCTAATGCGCGCACCCTGCCTGTGCACACCCTGCCCGCGAGCACTCCGCAGGCACCATCTGCAGCCCGTGCGCACCGCCTGCGCTCGGCCCGTCATTGCTGCTGTGCGCTGCTGCTGCTGTCACCTGCGCGGCCCCTCTTGCTGCATGCTCTGCTATTGCTAAGCGCTGATGCTGCTACTGCTGCTTAGCGCTGCTGCTGCTGCTACTGCTAAGCGCGGCTGCTGCTGCTGAACGCACTTCTGCTGCTACCTGTGCTGCAAGTGTTCCTGCTACTGTGCCTGAGCTGCTGCTGCCACACACGCTACTGCGCTGTGCCCTGCCAGGCCACGCCACCCTGCTGAGCCGCGCCGCCCTGCCGAGCCGCGCCGCCTTGGCCGAGCCGCACTCCTGTGCCCCTATTGAGCCGCACTATCGTGCTGCTGCTACTGCTACTGCTACTTCTACTGCAGCCACTACTACTGCTGCTACTACTGCTACTGCTCCTATGGCTACTTTCTCAGTCCTTAGCTTCGATGCGGAGGGTCGTGCGATTAGTTTTGACGTGTGGCTTGATGATCTCTAGCTGTACCTACAGAGCGAGTCTAGGGATGGCGTGTCCTTGTTCGCCCACACAGAGGGATCCCTCCTAGCCCCAGCTGACTCTGCGCACGCAGATAATTCGAAGTGGCCCATGCGTGATGCCACTGCCCGCCTTGCTGTTCGCAACCACCTTCCAGTTGCAGAGAAGGCGCACTTTAGCCAGCAGAAGACAGCGAAAGCCCTCTATGACGCTGTTGTCGCTCGTTACTCCTCCCCCGCTACTGCTGCCCTAGGCCATCTCATGCTGCCATACCTCTTCCTTGAGCTAGCTGATTTCCACACTGTTTCTGACCTCATGACTCACCTTTGTTCTAGTGAGACTCGCTACCGCGCCGCTCTCAAGCTGACCTTCCTCGCTGCGAACCCCCCCCCAACTGTATATCACCCTGTACTTCCTCGTCACTTGCCTTTCTGACTCCCTTCGCATTGTCAGGGACCACTTTCTTGCCCTCGACCCCACTGAGCTCACACTTGCCTCGCTGGAGAAGTCTCTTCTTAAGGCTGAGACCAGTACCAACGCTGTCGCTTCCTCTCCCGGTACTCCCCGCTCCCCCTCCTTTGAAGGGTGTGCTCCCTCCCCTCTCCTCCCCTTAGTTGCTACTGCTGCTGCTGTCAACCTCCTTGGTGCTGAGGAAGTTGGCGCTGCGTCTGCTCCTAGCGGGAGGCGCAACAACAGCAAGGGCAAAGGGGGTAAGGGTGGTGGGGGTGGCAACAGCGGTGGAGGTGGCGGGGGTGGTGGTGGCGGGGGTGGAGGTGGTGGGGGTGGCTCTGGGGGTGGAGGCAGTGGAGGCGGACGGGGTGGTGGAGGCGGCGGGGGTGGTGGAGGCAGCGGGGGTGGTAGAGGCGGCTGGGGTGGTGGAGGCAGTGGAGGCGATGGAGGAGGTCGGGGTGGAGCTAGCAAGGTTGGAGGCCGTGGCACTTCCGCACGTGGCGGTGAAGGCTTTGGGAGTGGACAGCAGTTGCCGCGCCTCCCGGACAACCCCACCCCTCAGCAGCTTCGTGAGTGGGTTGTCCAGTGTGGTTCTTCTGGGGGCTCTGGTCGCTGCCCGTACGTCAGGCGCACAGGGAAGCTGAAGAGTCAGACTTGCAAGAAGGCGCACACTGAGTATCGCTGCTTCAGCCGTCTTGAGGATGGTTGGGTGGATGAGTACGGTGATGAGATGCCAGCCCCCAACTGGCTGAAACTAGAGGGGATGGGAGTAGATGTTTATGCTCTTGACAGTGTTCAGATCAACAAGGCTATCTATGCTATGTATGTGACTGAGCTTAGTGATGAGGGTGCGTGTTACTCGTATGTACCTGGTGATGCTGGTGTCGATGCTACTTCTCCTGGTGCTAGTGAGTCTGCTGCAGCTCTAGGTGCTAGTGCGTCTGCTGTCACAGGTGCTAGTGAGTCTGCTACTAGTGAGTCTGCTGCAACTCTAGGTGCTAGTGCATCTGCTGTCACAGGTGCTAGTGAGTCTGCTGCTAGTGCATCTGCTGTCACAGGTGCTAGTGAGTCTGCTGCTAGTGAGTCTGCTGCCTCCGCTGAGGCCCTGCACACTTTCACACTTGACTCAGGCGCGTCTCGTTGTTTCTTTCGTGAATGCACCACACTCACACCACTAGCTGCACCGGTACCAGTATCATTGGCTGACCCCACTGGGGGCCCAGTAGTCACACGAGCCTCCACTGTCCTCCCGTGTCTAGCAGTCCCCTGTGGTGCTCTGTCAGGTCTCCACCTCCCCACGTTCTCTACGAACTTGGTGAGCACCGCTGCCATTCAGGACGTCTGGGTTGATACCTTTACTCCTGGAGGGCAGCGTGTGGCGATCTGTACGTGCTCCAGGACTGGCCGTCACCTTGCTACGTTCACCAGACGGCCTGGGTCCAATCTATACACACTGACCATTGCGTCTGCAAAGGTGGCTGAGTCAGGTCAGTTGGCTGCCTCAGTCAGGTGTCTGCGTCTGGTGAGCTTGCAGCGTCTTGCTTGTGTCAGGTACTCTCCCACTAGACTCTCCTCTAGCACCACCGTCTCGGTCACCCCTCGCTGTTGCATCTCCGCAGCACGCACTCCCGTCTCCTTGTTTTTGGCCTTCCCAGGTCCCTGCTCTCCCTCCCGCGCTCGCCTGCACTGCCGTGCCTTCCCTGCGTCGAGGGGCGGCAGCGTGCCGCTCCTCACTCCTCCGTGTTTCCTCCGACCACTAGTCCTCTGCAGGCTCTCCACATGGTCGTGTGGGGCCTGGCCCCTGTTAGTGGAACGGACCAGGAGCGCTACTTCCTGCTGGTGGTTGACAACTACACACGCTACACCATTGTCTTCCCCTTGCACCGCAAGGCGGACGTCAGTGGTGTTTTGATCCCCTGGATCCGTGCTACTCGTCACCAGCTGCGCGAGCGGTTTCGTCGGGACTTGCCAGTCCTGCGTCTGCACTCTGACACGGGTGGTGAGTTCTCTTTTGGCCTTCTCGAGGAGTTCTGTCGAGACGAAGGGCATCCGCCAGGCGTTCTCGCTTCCGACCTCTCCTCAGCAGAATGGGATTGCTGAGCATCGAATTGGCTTGGTCACGGAGGTTGCTCGTACCTCCATGATCCATGCGATTGCTCCTCATTTTCTGAGGCCGTTTGCGGTCCAATACGCTGCGCATCAGCTCAACCTCTGGCCCCGTATCTATGAGCCAGAGACCTCGCCCACACTCCGGTGGACGGGGAAGGTTGGCGATGCGTCGGTGTTTCGGGTCTGGGGCGCGCTCTCCCTTGTTCGCGATGCCAAAGCGAGCAAGCTCTCCTCTCGCACTCTCCGCTGCGTCTTTCTTGGCTTCCCCACCGACGCCCCGCCGTGGCAGTTCTACCACCCGCGCTCGCGTCGAGTCTTCTCCTCCCAGGACGTCACCTTTGACAAGTCTGTATGTTTCTACAGACTACACCCTCATGCGTCCCACCCGGTCCCCCTACCGCCTCTCTTCCTGGTACCAGTCCCCCCCCCGGTAAACCCCCTCCCCCCACAGGGTCCTGCTCCTTCAAGTGTGTCTCAGGTAGACCCACTCCCCTTGGTTGAGCCTCTGGAGATCTCTTGTAACTCCTCTGGCCCAGCTGAGGGGGGTGACCCCGCCGCTGACGACACGGCGGCCACTCACCACTCTCCACGCTTGGAGACCCCCCCTGGTTTTCCGACTTGGCTGTCTTCGCAACCTCCACAGCTTGCTGCTGTAGACTCTGCCGCTGAGACTGCTACTGCTGAGCATGGGGGTGCTGAGACAGAGGGTGAGGGTTTTGGGGGTGCTGCGACTGGGGGTGCTGGTTCTGGGGGTGCTGCGAATGGGGGTGCTGGTTCTGGGGGTTCTACGACTGGGGGTACTGACTTTGGGGGTGCTGCGAGTCCTAGTGGCGGTGGAGCTGTGGGTGACCCTGCTGGAGGTACTAGAGGTGCTGCTGGTGCTGGAGGTACTAGAGCTGCTAATGCTAGAGGTGCTGCTGGTGCTGGAGATGCTGGAGGTGCTGGAGCTGCTAGTGCTGGAGGTGCTGGAGGTGCTAGAGGTGGTGGAGCTGCTAGTGCTGGAGGTGCTGCTGGTGCTGGAGGTGCTGGACCTTTGCCACGTTCTCGGTCTTCCGCCAACTCCTATTGAGTTCCCAGTCGCTGGTACTACTCCTCCGTTACTTTTCCCACCGGCTGACCAGTCTCAGTCATAGCTACTGCCTCACTCCCCACTGCCTGCTCCTGCTGTCAGAATGTTATTATCTAGCCTGTAGTGGGGTGCTCTATAGCGAGTACAACCCAGTTAGGGTTTGCTATATGTATCCCAACTACTGCTAGTGAACCCCTCCTCTTTCTGTTTCTAAACTTTGTACTGCTACTTCTGACATGGTTTCAGAGCAGGTCGACCCCCTTGGGTCGATCCTGTGGGTGGGCCCACCACCTAACTGCTTCCGCTGCTGTTCTGCTTCTCGCGCGCCTCGGGCGCGCCGTCTTCCTCCTGCCGTGCGGAGGTTTTTAGGGTTTTTCATCCCTCCGTGCGCTCGGGGCGCGCGGCGAGTTTCTGCCCGCCGTGCGCCCCGAGGCGCGCGGCGGTTTTCTGCCGTAGGGGACCCGCGCGCACCACCCCGCCCTTCCCGTCGCGTCGCCCTGCAGGTCGCGCGCGGGTCTGCAGGCCGCGCGCGGCCCGTCTGCCCGCCGCGCGGCCTTGGGGAGCCGCGCGCGCCCCCCCGCCCGTCCGTCGCGGCGTCCTGGGGAGCTGCGCGCGCCCCCCCCCGCCCGTCCGTCTTGGCGCCCTGGGGAGGAGCTCGCGGCCCCTCCTGTCCCGTCCCCCCCCTCCCCCTCCCCCCCCCCCCGTGCTGCCCATTCCTCCCGTGCCGCCGTGCGTTCCGCGGTGGTGGGGGGTGTGGGGTGGCAAGCATGGGGGTGCGCGGTGTGGGTTCCCCTCCTCCTTGTTCGTCTCCCACTGCTGCAGCTGCTGCTGAGGGGGGTGGAGGTGTGGGAGCCGCGGGGAGTGGAGCTGTGGGGGTGACGTGGAAGTGGAGCTAGGGTTTCTGCAGGGGGTGTGTGAACAGGGTGTGGGACAGTTGGGGGAGGTTGCGCGGAGGTCGTCGTCGTGTCGCCAGCAGCGCCAGTAGTCCGGAGCCCTTGCTCTCGGTAGCCCAGTGAGCCTGCTGCGCCAGTCGCCCGTGGGTCCGTTGCTCCTGCCGCTCGTCGTAGCCGCGGAGTCTGTTACTCCAGTAGTCCGGGGCCCTTGCTCCGGTAGCCACTGTGCCAGCCGCTTCTGTTGCCCGTGTGACTGCAGCTTCAGCCGTCGCCTCCAGTCTACTCTCCTCTCACAGTCACTCCTCCTCCTCACTTGCCCTCTGTGATAGCCTCTAGCTTTGCTTGTAATTGTGAACTACTGCTATGCCTGCTCATTGTACTGATTACACCCCACTTTGGCTATGGGGGTGTGTCAGAATGTTATTATCTAGCCTGTAGTGGGGTGCTCTATAGCGAGTACAACCCAGTTAGGGTTTGCTATATGTATCCCAACTACTGCTAGTGAAACCCTCCTCTTTCTGTTTCTAAACTTTGTACTGCTACTTCTGACACCTGCTCCTTACACTGCTATGACAAGGTCCCAGACTGAGCGTCGAGAGCCTGAGACTCGTGCTTCCACTTTTGAGCGTCAAGAGCCTGAGGCTCGAGCTTCCGTTCCTACTCGTGTTCGTCGTGTGCGTCGTCCTCGTGCTCCGACTGTCCCAGGCACTCACAATAACACACTCCGTCCTTCCTCTATTCCACAGCGTGTTGTCCTACCGTCACCTCCCGCGTCTTCTCTTCCTGACGTTGCTGACCCTCCGTCTGAACTTACTCGTGCTTCCAGTCCGACTGTCACTCGCTTGCTTGCTACAGTTGTGATGGACCCTACGTTCTCGTCTCCTGCTGCATCTGCCTTAGTCGCTGAGCTAGTTGACTTTGCTGCTGCGCACCGCCTAGACTACCTTGCGAGTCTTATTTTTGACCCTATCCCTGCCTGTCCTCCGTCTGTCAGGGGTGAGGTTGCCCTTGGCTGTGACGTTTTTGAGGACAGACAGGAGGAGCTGGAGTGTCTTGCGGCCGCTGCACCTTATCTCATGACCATGCTGCTTGCCCCTGAGGGAGACACGGATGCACTTGACATCCCCACCCCGCGCTCTTACAGAGAGGCGATCTCGGGAGAGTACTCCTCTCAGTGGCAGACAGCCATGGACGCCATGGCTTCCTGGAAGTCCATAGGCACCTACGTCAACGAGGTTATTCCACATGGGGCGAACATCGTCAGTGGCATGTGGATTTTCAGGGTGAAGCGGCCGCCGGTTTCTCTGCCTGCCTTCAAGGCACGTTACGTTGCTCGAGGCTTCAGTCAGCAACATGGGGTCGACTTCTTTCAGACCTTCTCCCCCACCCCAAAGACGACCACTCTTCGGGTGTTGCTACACGTTGCAGCTCAGCGTGACTACGAGCTGCACTCCCTCGACTTCTCTACAGCTTACTTGCAGGGTAGCCTTCACAAGACCATCTGGCTGCGCCGTCCACCTGGCTTCACTGGGTCGTTTCCTGAGTGTACCCAGTGGAGCCTACGGCGACTAGTGTACTGCCTCCGTCAGGCACCTCGCGATTGGCACAACACACTGACGACGACACTTGCGGCTCTTGGGTTTGCTCCTTCGACTGCTGACCCGTCGCTGTTTCTGCGCACCGACACTACCCTGCCGCCGTTCTACGTTCTTGTGTATGTCGACGACTTGGTTATTGCTATTGCTGACATAGAGGCAATGGCCTAGTGAAGGCAGAGCTACAGGAGTGACACACCTGCACTGACCTGGGTGAGCTGCGGAGCTATCTTGGCTTGCAGATCACCCGGGACAGAGCACGGCGCACCATCACCCTGACTTAGTCACATATGTTGCACCAGGTCCTCCAGCGCTTTGGCTTCCAAAACTCCTCGCCACAGCCCACTCCTCTGTCTACCGGTTACTCGCTCTCAGCTCCACCTTCGGACGAGTCCGTAGAGCCGAGTGGTCCGTACCCAGAGCCCTAAACCCTAAACCCTCATGTATCTGATGACGTGCATACGACCTCGCGTACCCTCTCAACCTCCTGGCTTGCTATATGACACCTTGTTGACACCGAAAGGTGCACGTGCTGCAAAGAGGGTACTGCGTTACTTGTGCAGTACATCAGGCATGGGGCTCGTGCTTAGAGGATGGGGTTCATTTGTACTCACAGGACACTCTGACGCTTCTTCGGCCGACGACCAGGTGACTCAGCGTTCGTCACAGGGTTACACCTTCAGTCTTGGCTCTGGTTCTGTCTCGTGGAGGTCCACTCGTTCTTCTTCTGTGCTTGGCTCCAGCTGTGAGGCCGAGATCTACGCTGTGGCCATGGCTGCACAGGAGCTACGCTAGCTGACCTACCTGCTGACCGACTTGGGGGAGCGGCCTCGTTTTCCTCCAGTTCTGTACGTCAACAACAAGGCAATGCTTGCCTTGTGTCGCGAGCAGAGAATGAAGCACATAACGAAGCACATTGCTCTTCGCTACTTTCTTGCTCGAGAGCTGCAGCAGCGTGGTCAGCTTCGCCTTTCCTACGTGGCCTCGCGGGCCAACACTGCTGATGTGTTCACAAGGCCCTTGGGTCTGGTGATCATCAGTGTTTCTGCACTGCTCTTGGTCTTGTGCCCACTCTGCCTCACCTGCTGATTGCTTGACTTGCACTTGTTGTACACTGAAATATATCTTTATACCTGCTTGTTTACTCTTGCTAGGTTGTAATCAGTGTACTGCCTTGCTATTATAACTCTGCATGTGAACTGGCCTTGTGGCCGCTTGCTTGTGCTCAGACTGTGTGGTGTCCTTGAGATCCACCCTGGGCTTTGCCTTGCTTGTTCTCTTGTTTGACTGGTCTTTTGACCACTGTTAGGTTTGGCTATCCCCTCCTTCACATATGGGGGTTTGTCAAAACATTTTATATGTTTATAGCTTTGTATGCTGTGTAGGGGTTATCCCTAGAGGGTACAACCCTTCTCTTGACACTCTTGTACCCTCCCCCTTACCTAATCGATCATCAATTCTCCTCTCTACTCTAGTCACCTATGGCTATTAATCTAGGCTAGATTCTAACAAGCGCGTCGACGAAAATGCAATCGACGCACCAAGTGTTGGCAAAGTGTCGCTCGCAAAGAGCGGCGGCGTGCTGGTGGTGTACTGCAGGCAGACAAGCACGGTGCGCCGGCTGGCGGGTGCGCTGGTAAACGAGCTCTCCCGCGACGGCGTCTAGGTATGCCCGCATCCCGCCTCTCCCGCTTTCCCCTCCCTCTCCCGCGTTTTCCGCCTCTCTCGCACGTGTCCCCCACCCCCACTCTATCCTCCATCCCGTGTCGATCACTTCCAAACCCACCCTTACCTCTTCCCCCTTTCCCCCTTCCTCCCTGCTGTCCCTCTTCTCCCACCACCCCATCCCCTCCTCCCTCCCTCTCCCATCCCCTCTCCATTTTCCCTCCTTCCTCCTTCCGCCTCTCCGCCCCCCTTCCCCCTCCCCCTCCCCCCGCGTCCGCAGCTGCAAGACCCCGTGTTGTACGAGCCCGTGCTGCTGCTCGTTGCGTCCACGTGGCTGCACGGCTCGCCGTCGGACCACGCTGCCTTCTTCCTGCGCTGGCTGCACAAGAGCGCCTCCGGCTTCAGTGTCGGCGCCACGCTCCTCGCGCCACTGCTCTTCGTCGTCTTCGGGCTAAGGAGCTCCGCGTACGACGAGGCAGAGGAGGCGGGGGGAGGGGAAGGGGAGAAGCTGGAGCGCGTGGGGTGTTGTGCGTCTAGCGCGGATGCCGGAGGTTCTTGCGATGGTGGGAGTGAGAGCGGGCGATGCGGGGAAGGGGGAGCTACGCGTTGTAAAGAGGAGAGGAGTGCAGGGGAAGATAATGAGGGGGTCCGCAGGCGGAGCGGGAGCGGTGGAGGGTTGTGAGTGCAGCGCCGGGGGCGGTTGCAACGACGGGCGGTATTTCAACACGGTGGCGCGTGCAGCGGACGAGGATCTGGTGGCGCTGGGGGTGCGGAGGCTTGCACACATGAGAGAGTGCGACGAGGCGGAGGGGGGTGACGTCGACAGCACGTTCCACGAATGGGTCAGCGCAATCAAGTCCGCGTTGGCTGCCGCGAACGGCGGGTCCGGGAATGGCGCGACTTTGAGGGCGTCGGGAGGGCAGGAGGAGGACGAGGAAGAGGAGGTAGAGGAGGAGGAAGAAGAAGAGGAGGGATACGAGGAGTATAAAGGGGAGAGCGAGGAGGAGGAGGGGGAAGGGGAGGGGCGCGCGGAGGGGTTGGTTGATCTGGAGGACGTGGCTGGCCCGCACGCCCCCGCGCGCGCGCATGCGAATGCGCTCACGCGGGGGACTTTGTGGGCGAGGGCGCTGGCGGGGACGGCGCGGGAGGCGCTGCGGGGAGGAGAGATGGCAGTGGCGGAAGGAGTGGCGCGGGGGGCGGGGATGGGGAAGAGCAGGGGGGGGGGGTGGTTCGGCAAGGGGACGTGTACACGGACCATGCGGGGGTGAATAAGAAGAGGTTCGTGCGCAGTGGGAAAAAGGGCGACCCACAAGCTCTGCGTAATGACCACTAGGCTCAACAAGATCGTCGGGAACAAGAGGAGTGAGTCTATGGTCAATAGCAAGAGGAGTGAGATGTGTGGTGAGAAACTTAAGCTCGAACAATAAAGAACCTGCTGCACCACGCATGACTAAGTCAGAGTGATGGCGCGAGCGGCTCCGTCCACAATGATCTACAAGCCAAGGCAGATACGCAGTTCACCAAGGTCAGTGCACATGAGTATTTTTTGCAGTTCGGATTACACTGAAGCAAGAGCAGCCATGTTTGCTATAGCGAGGACAAAGTCGTCGACTTAGACAAGGACGAAGAAAGGAGTGGGGCCAGAACGAACGAACAATGACGGGTCGGCGGACGAAGGACTGAACCCAAGAGAAACAAGAGTGGATCGAAGAGTGTCATGCCATACATGAGGTGGATCGGAGACCGTAGAATAGTCGTCTCAGGCTCCACTATGTCCCTGTCTCAGACAAGTTTAAGTGAATACCGGGGAACGATGCAACTAGATCTCCTCGTGTAGGCTGCCCCCTGGAAAGGCGGTGGAGAAGTCGAGTGAGTGAAACTCCTGGTCTCGCTACTTCTATGTGTGGTACTACCTAAAGAGTGGTCATCTTCAGGGTGGGGGAGAAGATCTGAAAAAAGTTTACCCCCTCTAGCTCACTAAAGCCTCTTGCCATGCGCCTTGAAGACGGGTTGCGATCTAGGTGGCCGCTTCGCCTTGAATATCCGCATGCCATCAAGTACTTTCGCCCTAGGAGGTGCCTATAGAACCCCAAGATGCCATCTCTGCGTCCATGACTGATATCCGCTGAGAGGCCCACTGTCTCGAGATAGCCTTATTACTAGTGCAAGTCAGGATGTCAATGGCGTCATGGGCACTCTTAAAAGCTAGCAACATGACACAGAGATGGGGAGAAGCGGCAGTAAGGAAAGCCATCTCAAACTGCGTGGCCTCTACGACATCATGGCCAAGGGCAAACTCAAGCACCAAGCGGGTGGCGTTGTCAAGGCTGTGGGTGGCGGCAAAGTCAGTGACTGCGGCAACAAGAGCCGAACTAGAGGACGGAGAGGCAGTAGGGTCTGTGACAGGAGAGGAGAGAACATGGGAAAAAAACACGAATAGTACGGTATTAGTCAGTGAGAGGCAACGAAGAAACAATAAGAGATGACAAAGGAGGCAGCGGTAGGACAGAAGGAGGCGAGGAACGGGAAGGGCAAGGACAAAGTAAAACAGAATGGAGGTCTTGAATGGGAGATGAAGGACGAGCACCAAAGGAACAACAAACCGTCCAAGGGGACTAGACAAAAAAGAAATAAAAGCAACCATGACTGAGGAGCAGTGAGGGCCGGGGACACGTCCGAAAGAGGAAACATAGGACCGTAAAGCAAGGAGACCGTGAGCGGTAAGGAGGAGAGGAAGGTAGACTAAAGGTCAAAAGACCACTCAATGGAGGCGACGACCACTGTAGTGCTACCGTGTCTACGACCACTGCAGCTGCCGCCGCCACTGCTACTGCTGCTGCTGCTCCTGCTCCTGCTCATGCTGCTGCTAATGCTGAAACCTCGTTATGCAACAGTGGCCAGGTGGAGCAGGCATCGTAGCATCAACGTCTGCAGCTCCGACACCCTCAAAACCAGTTTTCCAAAACCAGCACCTCCAACTCCAGCACCCCCACAACAACCACCTCCAATACCAACACCTCCAGCTCCAGCACCCCTAGAACCAGCACCTCCGACTCCAGCAAATCCAACTCCAGCACCTCCAACTTCAGCACCTCCAGCTCCATCACCTCCAGTGCCAGCACCTCCTACTCCTGTACCTCGAACACGAGATTTCTCGGAACGAGCACATCCAATTCCAGCACCTCCAGCTACAACGCCGAAGGCTGCTGCGGCGACTATGAAGATGGCATGGGGGACCGTGGTGAAGGAGATGACACTTGATGTGCTATCGAGGGAGGAGGGGTAGCGTCCAATAAAACCAGGGGATATGGAGACCAGCGAGGGAACCAGAAGGGACGGCCCGGCACGGGAGCGTGGTAGAATTGCGAGCGGTGGCTGGTCCATAAGAGGGATTAACCAAAGCTACTGAGTCTAGTGCAAGAAGTGGCATGAAAATGGTATAGTTGCGGAAGAAGAACTGGTACGCGCGGAAATTGAGAGTGAAGGAGCGAGTCGAGTAACTACACAAGCACCTATACTAGAAACGCAAGCACCTACAATAGCAACAAGCAAACGTTCCAAGCTAGGTACACACAAGCAAACAAATTTGACAGTGTTGCAAGTGTATACACGAAAGGGTGAATATCATTTATGGATACATCAAACACAAGACAATCACGACGAAGTAGAACAAGCCAGGAAAAGTGAATCGAGTCAAGCCAAAAACACTCACGATAAAGGTCATCAAGGTGTCTGAAGTAGCAGGACACGGAGTGGTCAGGATGCCAGCAGGTACTGCCAGCACTAGGCCAATCAGGATCCGGTACTAGCAGGGGCCGACGTCGCGACCACCACGGCAAACACCCCAGCTGGCTGGGCCGCTGCTAGGGCTGACGCCCCTTGGACCACCAGGCCCCCACTGCTGGGACTACTGCTGTTGTGGCTGCCCCTGCTGCTGTAGAACTCTAGCGTACGCCATGGCACAAGCCAGTTGGGTGTAAGAGCGGCAGGAGCTAGAAACGGCCAGAGCAAGGAACGGCTGACGCTAGGAGTGGCTGGAGCGAGGAGTGGCTTGAGGTAGACATGGCTATAACAAGTAATAGCTGCAGCAAGAAGCAGCTGGAGCGAGGAACGACTTGTTAGAAACTTGAGAGCAGTTGAATAATCAACTAAGGCAAGAGGGAGGTACAAATACAGATCCAAACGAAGTTGTACTCCCTACAGCTAACCTCATTATAGCTTAGAACATATAGATGCATATAATTTGACACAACCCCACAGGCTAAGTGAGGGACAACAAGACAAAGTGAGAAACGCAGGTGGATCTCAAGACCAGTCAAGAGAAGCAACAAAGAAAAGAAAGAGTGGATCTCAATATTACCACACAGTCCGAGCACAAGCAAGCAACCACAAGGCCTGTTCAAATGCAGTGTTATAATAATTATAGCAATACACTGATCACAACATGGAAAGTGTACACATGCAGTTTTATCGAGCTCAAGAGGTAAGCAAGTGAGGCAGAGTAGGCACAAGGCCTAGAGCAGTGCAGAAACGCTGATGATCACTAGATCCAAGGGCAGTGGCGAAAATATTAGCACTGGTGGCCTTTGTGGCCACGTAAGCAAGGCAAAGCTGATCACACCGCCGCAATTCTTGCACGAGAAAGTAGCGAAGAGCAATGCTTTTTGTTCTGTGCTCCAGTCTCTCCTCCCAACACTAGGAAATCATGGCCTTGTTGTCAACGTACAGAACCATTGGAGAACTAGGCCGCTCACCCAAGTCGGTGAGCAAGTAGGCCAGCCAGCGTAACTCCTGCACAGCCATAGCCCTAGCGTAGGTCTTGGGCTCACACCTAGAGCTAAGCACAGAAAACGAGCAAGCGACCTCCACGAGATAGAGGCAGCGCCAAGACTGAAAGTTAAACCATATGTAGACCAGGAAGTCGCCTAATCGCCGGCCCACGAAGCGTCTGAGTGCACAATTCGGCCCTGTCACCCAAGCAAAAGCCCCATACCTGATATACTGGCCAAGTAGCACAGAACCTCGTAGCAGCCCGCCAGTGCTCAGGGCGGTGTCTCTCGGGCGCAACATAGCGCGCTAGGATGCTGAGAGGGTATGTGAGATCAGGTCGAGTGAACAGCATCAGGTACATGAGGCAACCTACAAGCTTTAGACACGGACCACTAGGCTCTACGGACTCGTCCAAGGGCGGAGCTAAGAGCAAGTAGCTCGTAGGCACAGGAGTGGGCTGTGGCGAGGAGAACTGAAAGTGGAAGCAATGAAGGACCTGGTGCACCATGTGTGATTGAGTCAGAGTGATGGTGCGCGCTGCTATGTCCCAGGTGATCTGCAAGCCAAGATAGCTCCGCAGCTCACCCATGTCAGTGCAGGTGTGTCTCTTCTGTAGCTCTGCCTTCACACAGGCTAGTGCCTCACTGTCAGCAGTCGGAAAGACCAGGTCGTCGACATACACAATGATGTAGAATGGCAGCAGAGAAGGGTCGGTGCGCAGAAACAACGACGGGTCAGCAGTCGAAGGAGCGAAACCAAGATATGGAACTGTTGTCCTCAGTGTGACGTGCCACTTGCAGGGTGCCTGACGGAGACCGTAGACCGACCGCCAGGGACTCCACTGGGTACTCTCGGGAAATGACCCAATGAAGCCAGGTGGAAGGCACAACCAGATCAATTTGTGGAGGCCGCCCTGCAGGAAAGTTGTGGAGATGTCGAGCAAGTGCAGCTCATAGTCACACTGTGCTGCAGTAGTAACAACCGAAGAGTGGTCATCTTTGGGTTGGGAGAGAAGGTCTGGAAAAAGTCGACCCCCTGGCGCTGACTGAAGCTTCGTACAACATAACACGCCTTGAAGACAGCTGGGGAACCCAACGAACGCTTCACCCTGAAAATCCACATGCCATCGACTATGTTCGCCCCAGAATGGGGGAATGTGTTGACATATGTGCCTGTGGACTTCCAAAATGCCATCTCTACGTCCATAGCTGTCTTCCACTGAGAGGAGTAAAGACTTGTGATTGCCTTTGTGTAAGAGTGCGGGGTCGGCATGTCCAATGCATCCGCGACTCCCTCAGGGTCAAGCAGCATGGCAGCAAGATGAGGTATAGCAGCCGCAAGGCACTCCAGCTCAAACTGCCTGTACTCAAAGGCATCACAGCCAAGGGCAAGCTCACCCTCGACGGACGGAGGATAGTTAGTGTCAGAACTTTGACTCGCGATATAGTCAAGGTGGCACGTAGCAGCAAAGCCAGCGATCTCAGCGAAGGCAGACGCA